TTACTCCTAGGCTAGCTTCATTGTTTAACTGTTGAACATTTCTGAATTTCCCTCCATGTGTTCATGATCTTCTTTATGCTAAAATAGGAATCTTTACCTCTGTTTTCCACCAGCCTGACCCTATGCAAACATCAGGTCCCCTTCCTCAAAGATGACCTATGGCTGGCCCTAATGCATAGCAATCTCTTCTCCTCTGAGCTTTACTTGCTCTGGTCCATAAAATCAAAATTAGTACTGCAGTAAACATTATGTGCATCACTATGCAATGTATTTACTCTGTGTGTGTATATATACGTATGTATAACAAACTCATATTTGCTAATATGTTTATGTGTGTGTCTGGTTTCTCTCACCGTAGCACTCTCTGAAAGCTCATTGTGTACACAATTAATGCCTCATGTACTATATCAATTTAGTACAGTGCTGGGCACATCACTGTTTTCAAATAAGCCCTTACCAATTGACGGACCAATCAATTAACAAAATGGAAAATCCAGCCAGCAGGCTCAAGCTTTGTCTATCGGAAATTACTTTCCTAAAAAGCATTTTTCCTTCCTTTACAGATCAATTGCAAAGTCAAAATTCAAACACTGCAGATTTCACAAACAGGAATAGCTGGCAAGTATTGGGTTTTACAAATAATGAATGTGCACATCAAAACAAAAGTCGTAGATGTTTGTAAAAGTATACACACGCAGCTGATATGAACAGAGATAGGCTAAGAACCCCTCTTCCCAGCCCAAGTAAAGAGTAAGGCTGACCCTGATAGAGTTCAGCATTGTTACATGGCTTCCAAATCACAAAAATATTTGTGGAGTATAGTCTAGCTTTGCCAATTGCAAAAACAGAAATAAAACCCAGCAAAAACCTACATATTAATTTGACAAATCCCCCTTGTTTGCTGATCTTTCAGACTTTTACAGCATTTATAAATGAAGACAATGGAATCTGTTTCATTAGGAGACAAGCCTACATGTTGTACATCTCTGCATTTGATACTATAGTAAGAAATGGAAATAATAGCAATCTTTTTATGTTGCCAATCAGAGATCCTAATCATGCTTTCTCTACAGGAGTACAATACTGAAAAGGAGTACAATACTGAAAAAAGTGCTAATCAATTGTTTATAAATATCCTACAGGTTTGATTCAACCTCTTCGGGATTAAGATCAAAATGGCAAATGTTCAAATCACTTAGAGCATAAGGCACTAGAATATAATTCTTTATAATATGAAATATATACTTGGCATGTAGCATTACTTTTCTAGAATAACAATAATAATAATAATAATAATATAATATTTATTCTAATTCAGGGCTTCCTATGTGCCAGACATTGTTCTAGGCAAGCACTTTAGGTATATTAAGCTAGTCAATCTTCAGAAAGGCCCAGTGTTATAGGTATTATTGTCATCTCCTTTCTATTTATGAGGGAATCAAGGTACACACAGTCTAAATAAGCTTCCCAAGGGCAAGTGGAGACTTCAGAGGAATGAAGATTGCTATGTATTGGTTCCTAGAGCCAGGAACAAGCAGATCTAGTATTTGAACCAGAATAGTCTGGTTCCAGAATTCATGTTCTTAACCACTATATTACACAGCCTCTAAACAATTTGTAGGCTCTAATTGAGAGGTATGTGTAATGGTGAAAAGGATATATATTTTACATTTCAGCTCTGCAATTTACTTGCTGTGTGGCCTTGGACAAATTATTTAACATCTCTGAACATTGCTGTTTTTCAACCACATAGAGAGGATGATACTGCTTGTTTTGTAAATTTGTTGTATTTGCAATAACCTTTATAAACCACTCATCATGGTATGTAGTAAGTATTCAAAAAGTTACTATTATTATTACTCAAAAAGTAGCCAAAAATTTGATATTTTATAGTATCTGCATAATTCTCTATTAGTTCAGAGGTAAATTGTTGACTAAACTTCAAATAAATGGAAGTACATTTGGCCATAATTCTTTGGGAAAAGATAATGTTGTAGCTACACGTACCCTAATGAGTGTCATTTCAACATTAATAGTGCTCATCAAAATTATTAGAAGTTCTAATACTTCATCTGTCAATTGAAGGGGTTAAATCTAAGGTAAAAGCTAACCTTACTCCATTTCATATTATTGATAAATTTATGTCATAATAGCTGAGTAAAAAAGAATCTAACTCACTGAACTTTTAGTTGTTTGTCAATAAAATGCATGACAATGTTGAGCAATATATATAATTCTATTGGTTCAAAAGTTATGCATGTCTTTTCAACATCAGCTATAAAAATTGATCTTTACCCCCATTCTCTCAAGAAGTCAATAGCAATCTTTGAATTTCTTGTTTCTTTTCCCTCTTGTAATAACCTCACATCTAATGAAGATGAATTTCCAAAGATGAACCCCAGGGAGTTAATAATCTATCAAATACAACTACTTAAAAGAGAATATGAATCCTTAAGTGGAAATAATACCTGGCTTTACATTGCAAGTATTACCAAAGCTGGGCAGAGGAAAATACTCAGCACTGAAAATTAAAGAATAAGACATTCTGGTCATTGCCTGCTCATCTGTAGCTCCATTCCACAGTCTTAAATGGTCCTTCTCTAAAGGACCCCCCTACGCTTCTGGGAATAGGATCCTTAATCTCTAAATTTCAAAGCTCCTCTAACGCCATCATACACCACAACCAAAGACTGTAGGAACTCCTTTTCAAACAGCACAGCCCAAGTCATAACTGTGCCAGGATAGCGCACAGAATAGAGACATATTTTGAGGACAATCCCTCAGTCATTAGGCATGATGGAAGTGGAGATCTAGATTTAAACTTTGACTCTGACCTTTTGGCAGCCACAGAACCTTGATTTCTTTACCTTATTTAGAGGATTATGTGATTTATATAACTCAAATATCTAGTGTACAGTAGATCTTCCTTAAATGGTAGATGCTGTTGAGTTTTTTTTTTTTTTAATTTTTAAATTTACATGCATTGTTATATGTTGAGGTATTTTGATCCAGAGCTACTTCAATGTACCCTTTGGTAAGGGGAAATAAATTAAAAGAATTGCTACAGCTCACATTTCCAAACAATTATCAGGGAACTAAAATGGTACCTTTGACAGCTTTCTAGACTATGGCAAGAGACCTTTATGTACTGCTAGATACCTAGGGACATGACCGGAACAGAGTGGGGATCACGAAGGATCTTAAACTTCACCTTTTGATTCTCTATTCAAAAAGGATTGTATATGGTCTCAGAGACATTTATCACATGGTTAAAATAAATTTGTATTTTGTTTCATGTGACCCTACTTCCCAAAGTGCACTATGAATTGATATTTTTTCATAAACCATCTAAATAGCTAGTAAATAACCTACTTATATTGTGTTGTACTTCCAGTGTTAAAAACATTACTTTTAAAAATGCAAACATTTGTGACACAGAAGAATTTGATAAACCTACTTAGGCATGTCTTCATCTATTGATAGATTGGGATTCTCAAGTAACTAAGTTGCTTAAGCCTCCCTTACCTTAAGAAAGTTCTGTCACAGAGAAAAGAAATTCATTGCCTATCTGGTATGAAATAAAATATGGTTTTATTGTGATAGTAAACCCATATTTAATAGTACTAATAGTGGTAAAACCTCCCCTTTATTGATATTGTACCAAGCACCATAAAAATACTTTCAAAAACACTGCCTCATTGAATCCTCTCAACAATTGTACAACATCAGTACTACTATTCATTTCATTTCACATGAGGAAACAGAGGCTCAGAGAAGTTCAACAACTTGCCAGGGCAGGTGGCCCAGGGTTTGAACCTCAATGGTCGAATCCAGGTGCTCCCCTCTAGAGCACTCTTGTGTGTGGCACAGATTCATGGCCCAGACTGCTTTGATTGGCCTTTTTTTTTTTTTTGGATTCTATTTACTATTCCAAATTAATTTTATGCTTTAAATACATGCTTCTGAAACCAACTTTTTGTTCCATGAGGTTTTTATTTTTATTGTCCTTAAAACTAAGCAGCTCTTTACTTTTCCTCTGAGGCATGTCTCTCCTCAACTCCAGGTGAGCTGTCCCATGTGCCCTGGCATGCGGCACAGCTCCTCAGTGCTCCTTCCAGCTAAAAGTGAGTCCAGCTGCCTCTTACTCCTCTCTCTCAAGCTGTCCCAAGTATCTTCCCAACTGACTGCAGCCGCCTCAGGCCAGTGCCTCCAGCAAAGTCCTCTGGTTTGTCACCCCTTGAGCCTCTAGGTCTGGGTGTGCTGGAACTTACAGGCGTCTGTATCCCCACTTATCCCCACTGCTGTGGTTACAAGGGGCCTCTTTTAAATGCAGACAGCCAGTCAGCCAACTCGAAATTTATACCAGAAATCTATTACCTAATTTTTAAACAAAATGACATGAAATCAGACTTGAAGATATCAAAAACATGTCTAGTTTCTGATTTAAGCAAGAAAATCCACATTGTTATTGCTTCCACCACAGAATAATTTACTGCAACAGGAGTTCTGGATCTTATGCCAAAAATGAGGTCCTCTAACCAATGTCAAGGCCAATTATCTTGTGGTAGATCCCACAACAAAAGCAGACTATTGTGATTAGAGTCAGAAGCACCACCCAGAGAAGCTGGAAAGCTTCTGGGGATTTCTTAAGGTTAGTTTTTATTTTTTCTCCCCATATGTCTGCTTAAATAAACTACCAGCAACACCAGCAACATTGTGTGTGGGCACTGAACATCTAAGATTAGTTTGAGAGACAATGAGAGGGGCAACCAGGTTTGTTTTGAGCTATTGAGCAGAAGCCAGGCTGCAAGACTGTGTGTATATGTGTTTTTGCATGTGCACGAGTGTGTGAGACACTGCAGAGATCGCCACAGCCCAGCCCCTGGGTGGGTCTTGATCTCCTTCCTTCCCTAATCTCCTTCCCAAACACTGCGGGTAGCCATCCTGTGGTTTCCTAGGGGGAAGGAAAAGGCCAGGTGGCGACGTTCAGGAACACTCACCCCACGGTAAAGAACTGCCTCATCTCCTGTCTCCGAGACCTCATCAGTTGCTTATACTCCCCGATCCGGAGCTTTTTGCCATCAACAATGCAGGTGCGTTTCGGTCGAGGCTTGTATTTATAGTTCGGGTACTTCTCTAAGTGGATCTTGCTTAGCCGGGCCTGTTCTTCATAGTAAGGTTGCTTCTCTTGGTTGGACATGGATTTCCAGCGAGACCCTAAACAAAAATAGCCATAAATACCCAAGTGGTCAAGGTAACATATTTGTGGCGACTACTGTGTATACCTTGCCACCGCTTCACTCACCTGTGGCTCTGGGTGGCTCCTACCACGGCCTACCACTGAGCCTCCCCAGCAGTTTATATGGACCATCGAGCAAAGAATAATTTCATATATGATCACATTTATTACATTATTTCTTTCAATGACTTAAAGCTGGTGCTACAAAAAGTATATTGTTTTAAAACATGTCTCTGCTGCTTAAAGATCACCTCCTACACCAATGTCCTTTCTTCATCTATCTGTCATCTTTCTCTTTCAAAGGGTGAAAAACTGGAACTTCCAAAGCATACTCTCAAGGCTGATAGGATTCTCAGAAAAACCCTCCTGTTTCCAGAGATTCGAACGTCTCTCACACTGGTCCAGGCATCTTTAGGGAAGCTACTTATCGAGAAGGTGTTAGCTGATGCTGATATCCTTCCATACATAAAAACCCACTGTGCACGCCGCCTCCCCTGGCCTAGGGTAATTAAAAAGTCTAACCTCTACTTAAGAAGTTCTAGCTTTCAAACCGGAAGGTACAGTTGGAATGATATATACCATTTTCAAGTACTATAAACGTTCATTCAGAGCTGTACCAATGACGGCACAAAATTTTTTAATGTGGTTTATAGAGGAAGAAGGAAAAGTATTCACTTCTCTAATATTGTTTATAAAAAATTATCTAAACACTTGACGAAGTAGGGATGTGTTTTTTTACATGTATCAAATTGCATTTTTGTGTGTCGTTGGTGAATAAAGCGGTAACAGCTGTGCTGACTGGATGTTAGCTATTCTTCAGTGGAGATTTTTCATACATAAACAAATGGAAAGTCGTACAAATATTCTCTGTAGCCAGCAGTATCCTGGTCTGCTTTAATAGCACATCCATCCCCGTTTTTTCCTGATTGTTGTGCAAAGGTTGTGTAGAAAGTCTACGCAGACAGACTTCGTGTTTCGCTGACTTCCAGTAGCTTAAAGCCCCAGTTAACAGAGGATTCTTGGCACTCTTGAAATGCCTGTGCTTTAAAGTTTATATTTTAATGAATACACTTACTATATTCTTAATCATTTTTTTCACAGAATGCACACCAATAATATAGATTCCCCACAGCTGCCAAGATGGAAACAGAGAGTTTCTATGCCCATCTGAGAGCTTACTCATGCAGCTACTAAGATGGCAAAAAAAAAAAAAAAAAAGAAAAAGAAAAAAGAATGAAAAGAAGAAGGAAAGAAAATTTCAAAATTAGGTATCAAGCTTCAAGGACAGAGAAACACTGATTTTCTTTTAAATGTCTATTAATTAGAAAAAATATTAATAAATCCATCAGGAGCATTTTGGCTTCAAAGGTACTTAAATTCAAAAAAATAACAGTATCACTGTGAATATCTCAGAAACTCTAAAAATAAAACCCCACTTAACTGTGAAGACATTTGGCATCCATCTTGAAATTCAAATATCTAAAGTAATAAAAGGGAAAAACTTATATTTTAACATTTCACCACTATTTGATCTTATGTGTGTTTTAAATTTTCTTAGAGGCTACTGTCTCACAATGTCTCAGAACAAGTTAAATTATTTATACAGTGACAAAACATGTGTATTTGTGTATGTCCAGATCACTGATATTTACTAAGGTTAAATATTTATTGCTTTTGAACAAAACATTTAAAAAATGAAAACCACAGTTTAAGTCTGTAATGTTTTTCAGCTTCTTAAACTGCTCCCTTTGAGATTTTGTCACATCATGACAGCTTAAATAGAACAGTGCCTTCTGTGTTTCTTCTTTATAAAGAGGAAACATGTTGACTGTAATGCTACATGTTGAATAAAATATGTTCAATATGTTGAACACAATAATTCCAAACTGTATAATCTGCACTAGCAAGCTTTACACTAATAGAACAAGGTTTGAGTTTAATCCTGAGAAACGGGAGAATCACTCTGGCAATTTACCACAAAATGGGCCTCTGCCCTGTGGTCTATGTGTTCAACTCACTGCTATGAAATTTGAACTCGTCATATCTTATTAAAGTAAATGTAGTTTCATTTTACAAGTTTTAAAGTTATCATTAGAGGCACTGTTCAACACTCTATGAATTTCACACTATTTGGGGCTCACCCGAGTTCCTGATGAGTTCTTTCAAAAGGATATATGAACCCAAGAATACCAAAGCAGAAAACTGTAGGATCTGTGAATGTTTCCAAGCTTTTGTAGCAACTTAGGGATTTAAGAAGACTGAGTAAGAAAAGGAGATAAACCTTGTCTCCATGAATCCTGTTTAGCAGTACCTCTCAGAGTTGCCAAATTCACGGTATTAACACACTATAAATAGTTTTGTATCTAAAGTTTTTTAGTCATTCTTTCCCTGGATACATAACCCCTAAACTTAAATGCCACATGCGGGGTGGGGGACACAGAGATGGTGATGAAGTCTCCTGTGGCAGCTTGCTGAGCTACGTACGTCTAACTTCTGCAAACCACAGTCTCCCATAGGTGTCATTTCTGCTGTTTTCCACTCTGGGGGCACTCGTAGGGTGGAAGGTCAGCATCAGCGACTGCACTCACCTAAGATTTTGCTAATGTTGGAGTTATGCATGTCGGGGAAGGCCTGAAGGATTTTCCTCCTCTCGTCCTTCGCCCAAACCATGAAAGCATTCATTGGTCGCTTGATGTGTGGCTCGCTGCTGGCCCGGCTGCGGGCATCCCTGTAGACTCGTGCTTCAGCCACAGTGGCGCCTCCTGTTGGCCAACAATAATACTGCTGTAGTTTAGCTGCAGAGCCATTCATTGCTTTACTTCCTGTAATGTCAGGGCAGGAAGAACAAGATGGGTGCAAACATTATTATCTGAGTAAGGTAACACAGCTTGCCACCTGGTTCAGCTGTTTTCCCTAAGTCTTTCCCTTCTTTTTAAGTGACCTCTTGGCAGAAGGCAGTTTCAAATGACAATAGTATAGGCCCTTCCAATGGAGGCCTCAAAGACACACTGGGCAGAATTAATTTTGTATGTTTTTATACACCTAGTACATTTTTACTACAATCACTTGCAGGTGGTGATTGTGCAATGACTGAGATTATTTTGTGGTAACCTTTCCTGATATGATTCCTCCCTTCAAAACAAGCTCTTACCTATCATTTTAGCCTCATTTGCCAACAATTGCAGCTACTTCAAACTATCTCTTCACCTCAAATAGAATTCTCTTTCACAATATTATGCCCCTTCCAGCACTCCTCTCACTTACTGCCTGGAAGTGAGGCAGTACGTCCCAGTAAGTCCCACTCATCCTTCAAGACCTAGTCAAATGTGGTGTGTTTCATGAATTAGTTAATTCAATAAAAAATATTAATTGAGTGATTACTATGAGTTAGGCATTATGCCAGGGGTCAAGGATGCAAAGGTAAGTAAAACAATCCCTGCATTTAAGGAGTGCGCAGATCAGAGGGGATACAGACCCCAGGCAATTATAATAGTGTATGATAAATGCTGTAATACTGAAGTACACGGTGCCAGAAGGGCATCAGACAAGACAGTCAGTTAATGCATCGTAGGAAAGGTGATGTCTAAGCTCTCTCATGGAGGATGAGTAAAAATTATCACGTGAATAGGAGAAGGCTGTAAAGACAGATGGGAAGGGTAATTCAGGCCATTGGAACAGCATTCACAATGATGTTCCCCAGGCTGCATTCATTCCTCTCTCTTTTATGCTACGTGAAATTACTTGTTTATGTGACTATCCCTCTCTAATCTTCCCACTCTATCCCCAGGAATATGAAACCCCTAAAGTTGGTGTTTATGTTTTACTCATTCTTGTATCCCCAGGATTTCCCACATAGTAGATATTCAATAAATATTCATTAAGTAAAAGATTGGTTTTCAACTTCTATGCAAACTAGTAGACTCAAAGGCATTTATTTCCAGGGTCCTGATATAGTTGTCTGCTGTTTAAGAGTAGTTCCTTAACATTCCCCTATGAAACTCTATCTAAATCTCTGATATTTTAGAGTTTCTGAAGAGGTGACTCTAGCTAGTAACATACTATATTGAAAGCCCCTTGAATATAAGGCAAGAACTGGCTAGTTCAACTGCTGTATTCCTAGGTTCTAGTGAAGCACTTGGCAGATAGAGATTTAATTAGCAAAATGTATTAAATTAATGAATGAGTAAATGAATGAATAAATGAATGAACATAGCTCTTGCTTGTTTTCATGAATCCTACTAGCGTGACACACTGATATACACATTTGCAATGTGGCATCTACTAAATATCCCCCTATAGGTTGAAAACTTCTATAGTTTAAGGTAAAGTGGTTCAACTGATGGCCTCAGCCAGATTTTCTGCTGCATAAACAGGAAAGCCAACTCCCAAAAGTTTAGAAGCAAAATATACATTAAAACCAACATTTCCACTTTCTGGAAAAAGTAAAGCCTTTCAGCTCATTGGAGTGATTATACAGGAACAACATGACCCAATCAATCTCTGGCCCTTCTACTCTATTTCTAGATACCTTGATTAAGTAGAAATTTGTTTGTGTCAGAGCTAGTAATAAATTAGAACATTAAAGTGCACTATTATTTGACAAATATGATCATCATTTATAGCAAACAAAAGACAGGATAAAAGGGCCCAACTGGCTAATATTATCAATTCTTTTCTGAACATGAAAGAGGGCAGAGGGGCCACTTTTTGAAGACCAGGCAAAAATAATATATTTTATAAACAGCCCTTCTTTTAGGCCCACTAGACAGAATGATCCCTTACATGAAAAGTCTCAGATCCCAAGATGCATAACTAATCTGCTACCTTTTTGCCACCGTACCCACAGTACATTAATTTCATTTAAAATGCACTGACCATACAGGATAAATTGATTTCACTTTATATGGGTTTGACAGCCATGTTTATTGTGCAGTGAAATGTAGTGTAGCTTCCAGCTGACAATATCCATCAACACAGGGCAATATGCTGACTGCTGGGCCAGATGAAGGCATACATTACTCTGGAAGTGAAACACTCATTCAGATACGACAGTGTCTTCTCCTGAGGATCACCATGGTAATTTATGATGCCCTCAGTGCCATTACTTTACAACTGACATGGATTCAGCAATTTATATACTTGCATGCATACACATAAAAGGAGACAGGCTTTTGGAGAATGTCAGATGCAAAAACATTTCAATAGTATTCTAAGTTAACTACTATGCCACAGGTGATCAACATTTGAGCTTTGCTTTTACTGTCATAGCTTTCTCTCCATCTCTAGCAAAACCAAATAGTCAGCTTCCATTTATTTATTCATTTAAAAGATGTGTTTCATTGTGAATGGGAAGTTTACTCTCCTGTGGACTGATAGAAATCAGGGGGAATTTTTAGATTCAACTCTCAGTAGATCCTTTACTCCATACCAATTGATTCTCCCAGACATGCCATACATATGTCCAATCTCTCTCCCTCATTCCATACCTCATTCTTAACAAATACTTCCTACTCATTTCTACTGTATTAAATTCTACTCTTTTTTCAAGGAACAGAAGTCAGGTCTCACCCTACCAACTACCCTACATCAACCTTGCTCCTTTCTCCCATAGTACATGTTGTCTACATGACACTGACATTGAATTAATTACACAGCAGATACCTAGTACTCACCGTAAATGCTCCCATAAATTTAGAAATTCAAGCATAATACAAAGTATAAAAATGTGAATTAAGAAGTGGAAAATAGAAAGTGCTCCAAGGTATGTGTGCATCCCTTTTATCTTGCCTCTCTCCTCTCTTCCAAGGAAAGTCAAGTGAAAAGTAAATGAAGACCTCCTGAGCTAAACTAGGAATGTTATGTCAATGAACCAAGGTTTGAGAAGAGACGTATCCAGGGAGAGCAAAGTTTGAAACCACTTTTATACTGGACCTGATATCTGATCAGAGTCAGAATTTTAAGAAAGTATGAAGAGAGCACACAAAGCCAAAAGAATATTTAGAAAGTGCTCCTTAACTTCCCTAAACTTTGCTTCATGAAACAAAATAGTTATACATACTGGATATGTGTGTATAAATTCTGAAATTTTAAAATAAAGATTGTATGTTACATAAACCATTTTTATTTTATTTTATTTTTTAATTTTTTTTATTTTTGAGAGAGAGAGACAGCATGAGCAGGGGAGGGTCAGAGAGAGAGGGAAACACAAAATCTCAAACAGGCTCCAGGCCCTGAGCTGGCTGTCAGCACAGAGCCCAATGCGGGGCTCGAACCCACGAACCGTGAGATCATGACCTGAGCTGAAGTTGGACACTTAACCGACTAAGCCACCCAGGTGCCCCGAACCTTTTTAAACACATAAGGAAAATTCTACAGAATACTATAGAATTGTTTTCAAAACGTGTGCTATTATTAGTCTGAACATTGAAGCCTAAAGTCCACTTGTTACAATTAAAATCTACATATCAAGTGTAACTTCAAACTGCTTCATTCAATTTTCAAAATAACACCAAGCTAAGAAAGAAAGAGCACTTCATTCTAAAATAGCCAATGCTAGGACACCTGGGTGGTTCAGTCGGTTAAGCATCTGACTCTTGATTTGGGCTCAGGTCACGATCTCACAGTTTGTGAGACTGAGCGCTGTGTCAGGCTCTGTGCTGAGGGTGGAGCCTGCTTGACCTTTTCTCTCTGCCTTTCTCTCTGCTCCTTCCCCGTTGCATTCTCTCCTCTCTCTCTCTCTCTCTCTCTCTCTCTCTGTCTCTCTCTCTCTCTCAATAAACAAACAAACAAAAAAACTTTAAAAATAAGGAGCTGCTGGGTGGCTCAGTCTGTTTAGTGTCCAACTTCAGCTTAGGTCACAATCTCACGGTTCGTGAGTTCTAGCCCCACATCTGGCTCTGTGCGGACAGCTCAGTGCCTGCAGTCTGCGTCAAATTCTGTGTCTACCTCCTTCTGCTTTTCCCCCACTTGCACTCTGTCTCTCTCTCAAAAATAAACATAAATAAACAAATAAGCCAATGCTTTCTGTCAGAATCCAGAATGGTCCTAGAGAATGTCTCACAATTCTATGATAGGGCATCTTTTTCTTTTAAGATCAGAGGAATCATTTGTGAGTTCAATGTTCATGATATATCTCCTCATGAAAAGCAGTTAGAGAAAGCCTAGACCATAAGCTACATACCTAGAGACTACTACTTTCAGGCTGACCTAAGTGTCTTTAGTTAAAAGCAACAGCAGTTATAAATGACAGGTACTGAAAGGCCAGGAGGTCAATACCACCACACTAGGCACCATGGGAAAGAACTGTTCACTGTACTCCAGAAATTCCTGCTCTCTTCAACTTTCCCAGGGGGCTTGTTTGATTAATTCATCCTTTGTCTCCCATATCATAGTTCGGTTAAAGGCAAAATTTCAGTTAGACAAAGAAAGATAGTCTATGGGGAGAAAATAGAAATTGCCAAGGCAAAGATTTCCTTAGGAATCTGTGATTTAAATGATTTAAAATGAAGACAGAAAGTTGAGTTTTTCCAGGTGGGCTGGAAAGTAGGCCAGTGTAACCATCATAGCCTATGGAAATGGTCCTAAACTAATCCTAGAGAGGCCCCCTTCCTGGGTAAATTCCAAGGGTTATGTGAGTGAATGAGTAAGTGGTAAGTGTTTGCTATGTGTGTTCTTCCCTAAGGAAGAACTTTGGCTAATTCTGTAATGTGCCTCACAATCATTTATCTATGCATTAATTCAGCTAACACTTCTGACAAATTTCAGACAGACCCAACACTGTGATTGGGTATACAAAGAATGATAACACATGTGCCTTTTTTTT